GTTAACCACCAAACTCTCCATGTCGGGTCATAGCTGTAAAGGTATGAAGTAGTTGAACAAAAGAAAGTAGCTCATCTGAACATTTTCCATGGAAATAGCGATAGAATAGCGAAAGGCTCGCTACGTTTTATCTGCAGGGAAAAGTTTACATAGGGTAAACCCTTTTGAACTCTGTCAAAGATGGAAGATGAGGACTGAGCAGCTCCAGCCCAGATATGGCAGCGATACTCGAGTGGAACGTACATCTCACAAATGGTATACGAAGGGAGTAAGGGTGATTCACAACAAGTAGGCTTTCCTGCTGAGTAGGAGGCCCTCACCAATAAAACCGGGTGTCCTTTTCTTATCAGATCGATCAAAGGGGTTTCCCAACCTGCCCTACCTTCGTAATCACTGTTAGACTCATCCAACCCTTTCCGATATGTTAGTATTGGAGTTTCCGACGCGGATGCCAAGCAGTACAGGATGCCGTTTCGAAATTCTGTCGGAGTAGATAGCGTCAATGCTCTTTTTCTCACGTGTCTGTCTCTGTGTACTAGGAAAGAACAGTTAGATTAATGATCCGAAGTTCTTTAGTAATTATGTTTTTATTTTTAAAAAGACTGTCGTCTACTAACTTTGAAATAGATAAAATTAGAAAAATAATACATACAGAAATCTAAATTTAAAAATTACGCTTAACACAAAATTGAAAAGGGTAAACATCCTCGACATAATATTAGACTTAATGAATAACATATACCTACCTTACAGAAAAGCTAATACTAATCCTTTTTATGTACATCCCGGTCAAATCATCTTCCCTCTATAATTAAGCACATATCTTCATCAGTTGAGAAAAAATTAGTAGAAACTCCGCTAATGAAGAAAACCAAGCTCTGAAAAAAATAGTGGCTACAAACACCCTGACATCAATTATAAAAAAATTAACAGCAAAAACAAAAACAGAAAAAGGAAAATCATTTGGTACACCCCACCCCTTTAAAACAAATGTTTAGTAAAAAGCTAGAACGAAAAAATCCAACTTTAATCGAAAACCATTTTCCTAATAACAGTAAACTTAGCAAGATTTCAATAAAAACACACTAAAATTAAATTACATCTGTATTGAAAATTTAGAAAGGATTATAAAAAAACCATAATAATAAAATATTGAAAAAATACGCATGCCAAAATCAAATAAATAAATATCCTAGAATGAAATTATACAATAATAATGAAATATTATGTAATTGTAGAAACCCTGAAAATTGCCCTTTGAATAAAAAATGCCGCATAGAATCCGTAGTATACCAATGCACAATTTCATCCATTGAGAATCCAAATAGGGTATATATATATATATATATATATATATATATATATATATATAGGATCCACAAGAAAGAAATTTAAAATGAGGTGGAGACAACACCAATAATATTAGAAGCCGTAACCAAACATCAATATCTAAATATTTAAAAAAAACAAATAAAACACCAACAGTCAAGTTTCGAAACATAGTATATATATATATATATATATATATATATATATAGAGAGAGAGAGAGAGAGAGAGGGAGAGACAGAGAGAGAGAAGTAATTGATAATTATTTATTAATCCGATAGATTTTATCTACTAAAAATAACGTTTATATAATTTTGAGTAGACGCTCCGCTATTTTATTAAAGAGAATGTTTATTTATTTTCGTCTCCGTATACGAAAATAGGATAGCCTATACAAAAAATAAAAATATCGATTAAGTATTATATATATATATATATATATATATAGCCATCCACAGTAGCACATCTCATTAGTGTGGCTAGACATCCGATTTCCTCAAGCAAGGATCGATCTGGCATCAGTCGGAGATACTTCTCTTAAGCTCTCGGTAGAGAGAACGGAGAATTTTTACGTATTTATTTTGAATAAACATGCCAGTGACTCAGAGTGCTCGCTTCATAGAAGAGCTTTTCAGCAGTAGTAGTCACTGTTTACAAATTCGCGCTTTCGCTCTAAAGTGCTCGACCGAAATTTAATTCTTCGGGGGCGTATATATATTGTCACTCACAGTCTGTTTCGCTGTATCACAGTTGATCAGTGTGGCTATACATCGGATTGCCTCATATATATGTGTGTGTGTGCGTGTTTGTGTGCCTGTGTGCGCGCCAATTTTTTGCATATTCAGTTGGCCATAAATGAAAAACGCCCGAATATAATGTTACGCAACCAAAAATTAAAATTCTAATTTCACTTTTAGACGCATCAAGAGCATTAAGATGGCAGCTTTCTGTATAGTCTAAAGGTGAGCTATATTCATGGTAAAAGGGCTCAATATAAGGGATAGATAGTATGTTAATATTAACGTGGGCACTGTGATCAACGCCGAGTTTCGTGCTTGAATCCAATCTTCAGTCACACATGCTTTGTTCGACTGTGTATATGGCCTGAATATTTACGTTCAAGTATGAAACAGACTGTCACTACTCGATGTTGACCAAATTCTTATATATGTATAAATAGAAATATATGTATATATGAGTGCCAGGATGTTAATTTTTAGAAAATTAGGCAGCAAGTCCTATTGTGATAGGTTCTATATTTATTCGGCACACAAAATTCTGTTCTTATTCCAAGTTAATAGATAGATAGATAGATAGATAGATAGATAGATAGATAGATAGATAGATATAATAAGAATAAGACTTCGATAGATAGATATATAGATAGATAAATAAATAGATAGATAGAAAAGAATAAGGCCAAGATAATTAGATATATAAATAAATAAATAAGAATAAGGCCAAAATAGATAGATAAGAAGGTAGGTAAGTAGGTGTGGCTTCGCAAAATAGATTTTATGCATAGAAATTGAAATTAGGTACTTTATAAATGCGCATGTTTACATTTGTTTGTATGCATCCATATTTCTGCCTGTCTGAGCATGTAGACACATCGACCCCTAAGATTTTCCTTTACTTCAATGTCCACTGCTTCTTTTGCTCATTGCTATAAAGCGCATCGATTTGAAAATATACGTTGGCTTTTGAACGTAAATAAAACCTAACAAGAACAAATAACGAAAAAAAAAAAATGTTTTCCTGGTGTCACTTCAGTTGCTGCCTCAACTGATTTTACGTCCGATTTGTTTTTTGTTTTTTTTCTCTAATTATTTCTAGAATCTTCGCGTTTTATTATTTCTACTTTTCTTATGTCTGCGTTGCAGCGGGGAGGGGTGATTTTTTTTTCTGGAAGAAATCTGTTCGTTCCTTGTTTATTTACGTCAACCTGAATATGTAGACCGTCGGCAAAAATGTCGACATTCCTCTCCCTCACTTGCCCTCAGCTGTTTATTTAAATCATTTGCTGAGCTTTTATTGTTAAAATTATAACTAAAATGATAGAACCAATTATATATATATATATATATATATATATATATATATATATTCAAAAATTATAACAAAAATATATTATAAAATCACTACAAAAATACCCATTTTGTTTCAACACTTCTGGTTTCTTCTCAAGTGGTGGTGTTGAATGCAGAATAAATGGTTTTAAAAGGTTCAAATCGACCAAACACCCTCGAGAGGGGAAACGCTGTCACATAAGCTGTAATGACCAATCAAAATAAACGTATATGAAAATTCAAAAAACTTGACAACGAACCTTATAATTATTAATGCCTTAATGTTATGGTTAGACTAAAATAGAAATCATTCTAAGTGATTAATATTTAAATCATTCTAAGTGATTAATATTAAATTTTACTATAAAATTGAAAATTAAACATTACCAATTTTTAAATTTAATCTGTATTAAGTTTAAAATATAAAATTATTTAAAGAAGAAACTGAGGAAAAATACATGTTTTGTTATTTATTTTGTTTTAATTGAAAGGTCAAAAATTCAGTAAGAATAAACGTTAAAATTGAATGTTGATGCAAAGCTTCGTTACAGCTTAAATAAATTTGAAGTGTTGATATGGACATTAATACCCTTGCTATCGAAGTGTCCCGTCTACCAAATTTCACTCACTAGATTTGAGTCAACCCGTGTTATGATTTTAAGGTTAGCGCCCCACTCCAGAACGATAACATCAGGAAGACTCCAGTGGTGAGATTCGAACACGAGAAAGCGAACGTTCTAACCACTCGGCCACGCGGCCTTTTATATATATATATATATATATATATATATATATATATATATATATATATATATATATATATATATATATATATGTGTGTGTGTGTGTGTGTGTGTGTGTGTGTGTGTGTGTGTACACATGCACCATAAATGTACATATATATATAAATATATAATGTGCACTTCAAGTTGGGTAATGATTATATCAATTATGTCTATGAAGTGAGTTTTATTATCACTGGTTGTTCCATACTTTCATACTCGTGCCGAATGTAAGCTACGCTTACTAAATCACCATATACATATACCTTTCATTTCTTTTTAAATTTACGTACGCTATAATATATATATATGCTAACTCTATAAGTATAGGTAAACCCTGAATTTAATGCCTTATAAACAAAAGTGGGTTGTTTAATTTTAACTTTCCTTATTTTTTACATATACATATACATATGTTTGTGTGTGTGTGTATGTGTGTGTATTTAAATCTAATTATTATTTATTCTACTTTATTTTCATGAATTATTTATGCATGTATTTATTTTAAATAATAAGTCTTGAGTTAACCATTTTCCTTTAATTCTTTTAATTTTTATGGTCACGTATATTATTTTAAGAAAAAGGTTCTTCTTTTAAGAAAGGAAATATTTGAGAATATGAAATGCGTATATTTACATTTTCACAAGAATCGATAGTTGCATTCTCAAGAACTGTCTAAGTAAGTTGTTTTCTCTTTTAATAAATGTTGCATTTTTAGATCGAAGATGTGGTTGAACATTCTGTTTAACTGATTTTTTTTTCTATTTGTCATTTTACTAACAGGTTCATTCTTTCCTGATTACCAACCTGGCTCTCGGAGACATGTTCATGGGTATCTACTTGATGATCGTAGCTATAGCCGATTCCTACTACCGTGGTTCTTACATACTCTACGACAAAATATGGAGAAGCAGCATTCTGTGTCAGTTCGCCGGCTTCATTGCCACATTTTCCAGCGAGTTGTCGGTGTTCACTCTGACCATTATTACCTTAGACCGTCTTATTTGTATCATATTTCCCTTCAGGTAAGTTCATTTGCAAGAAGACATTTATCGAATGCGATCAATGCTCTGAGAATAAAACTAATTTTCACGATGCCAACAATAAACAATGAACACGTTGAATCTGGGAAATATATTCAAAACTTAAAACGTCCGATCTATGTGAAGTATAGAGATTTAAATGAATTAAGGAAGCAGATTGTTGGAAAATAAATATTTGTGCAAAATGTTTTTTGAACTTGCGTTAATTATAGGGACATAATTTAACACTCACATGCCATAATAAAAGTAAGTTTTATTAATTTATTTCATTTTTACGGCTTATCAACCTTTTGCAGGTTATTTAATTACAAAGTCCTAAGAAATAGGAAAATTTAGCTTGAAACAAAGAAAAGAGTACTAAACTACTATGTGGTATCTGTCCTCCTGTATGGAAGTGATTGTTGGACGATCACCTCAAATCTGAAGAGGAGACTTGAAGCAACAAAAATATGGTTCTGTTGAGGGATGCTGAGGATATCATGAACCGAATATGTGAGCAAAGACGAAGTTTTGAAGAAAATGAAAACAAAAAGGAAACTAATACTTAACATCAGGAAGAGACAGTTGATTTACTGGGGCATATAGTGAGGAAAGAGGGCTTGTGAAATCTGATTTTTACAGGACAGATAGAGGGCAAGAAGACCAGAAGAAAAAAATGCATGGCATGCTTAGCGAGCTTGAGTAAATGAATAGCAAAATAGTGCCTAAGAGAAATAGCAGAAAGATAAAGATTGTTAATAGTTACAAGGGACAGGAAGTTGTGGAGAGTTATGATAGCCTACGTCCTGAGGAAACACGGCACATAAAGAAAGAAAAGCTAGACAATATTTTTACATTTTAAGAATTTTGGGAGAGAATAACGATTTACTGTTACAAGTTCTACTAATTAACCCATATCTTCGGGAAAGACATGAATTCATACCTTTCCCAAGGGTATTTCCGTTTAAGTGAAAATTACGAACCCGACTGGAACTGGAACTCAGCTCTTCGATTTCGAATAACGAGCCGTTGTACATTGCACAAACCCGTGCCTCGAAATTTGCAGCAAATGTCATTCCTCTCGGTGCTGATTAGGCTGCACTATCTTTTAGGGTTGTTTCATCTTCAACGAAGCTAAGAAAGACTATTAAACAGCCCTAAAAATAGTGGATTCCCGGGAACACACACATACTCACCACACACCGCAAAAAAGCCAACAGGAAAACAAAAATCATATGGTTCAACACACCGTACAGCATAAACGTAAAAACACATGTAGGAATATATTCATTAAACTCATACACAAACAATGCACCGTATCAAGAACTCTCTACAAGATGTAAAAAAAAAACAGTGCAAATCAACTACAGATGCACAGAGAACATGACATTAATAATAAAAAAGCACAACAGGAAAACAACCAAAAGCCAGGTGAACAAATTAAACCCACGTGTAACTGCATAATAAAGAACGAATGTCTCTTAAACGGAAACTGCTTGCCGAAAAATATAATATAGCATGCCACTGTAAAATCAGCAGATAACGAAGCAAAAATGTTCATAGGAGTAAGTGAAGGACCCTGGAAACAAAGAAACTATGAACACGAAATATCCTTTAAAAATAGTAAATAGGCGAACATTACAACGCTTTCTAAACGTATCTGGGAGAATAATTCGAAACCAATAGCGAAACAATAATACAATAGACTACCCACAATGCAATAGACTATCTACAATACATCACTGACCTGTATATGTAAATATTAGAGAACAAAAACAACGCCGCGTACCTTAAGAATTTGTGTCCGACTGGTTGCATAGACCACACAACTGATTTCACGTTTATTTTATTTTTTTCAAAGACAGATAAAAAAGTTATGTTATTTTGGTTACATTTATTTTACACTGACTGTATTTGTTGTGATTTTTATTTTTTTCAGTTTTCTTTTACTCTCCACCGACAATAAACTAAATTTATTTTCTTATTTTTCTGGTGTAACGTCCTTTTATTTGTTGCACTAGTGTTTTTGATTTATTTTTGTTTTCTTACTTTTAATTTTGTTGTAGGTATCTAAGTTTTTCTTTTTCTATTCTTAAAAAACCTGTCTTTAAAGCCCATTTTTTAACATTATTTCCCAGTTTAATTTTTAATTTCCCTACACGTTCTGTCAAGTTTCGACTATTTTGTTTTCTTGATTGGCGAACCTTTTTTTTTTTTTTTGTTAGATGTGCGTTTTAAATTTTCAGTCGTCGTTGTTTTAAAATATTTTGCATTTGATTTTTTTTTTTTGGTTTAATTTAAAAATCCCCCTTTTGACCATTTTTTTTGTTCGTACATCTGAAGCAAATTTCTTTTATTTTCGAATTTTTATTCGTTAAAAGTTTCTGTAATTTATTTCGTTTGCTAGTAATCCGTTTTAATATTTTTATTGTTACTATTTGTAAGGTTAAACTAGTTTTAAATTATTTTATTTATTTTTCCCTCCACATTTGATGGAAATACTTTAATTTGTGTCTTAATTTGTTCTTTACTGTTACTGTTTTTTAGGGAGTATCCAATTGTTTTTTTTTTAATTCCTTGTTTTTCCCTAAAAGAAAAAAAATACAAAACAAGTAAAACGGACACAATCTTTTCAAAATGGCCAACAAATGTCAGTCCGTTAAAAAGAAACTGTGTGGTCCCGAAGAAAAAATCCGGAGAACATTACGTCGACAAAAAAAGAAAATGAACAGTGTATGGTGGCCGCAAATGGCCAAAATTCAGAATCAGAAACCGGAAAAAACACTAACCCAAAATAACTCAGAATGAAAAGGAATATAACAACGATATCAATAACAGCAACAAAGATAATATAGCGGTCGGGGATTCGCCCACTTCTGGAGATCCACGCCGAAGTGTATAATCAACATTACTGAGTTACTGGAAAGAGCCAAGAGTTACGAAAATCCTATCGAAGAAGATGGGCTCTTGGTAGACCCCCAGGGATTACAGAGGGTTGAAATAATAATTGGGTCTATCTTTACGGTCGACAAGCATTTACGTAATATTTGTCACTCCATTAATGACACTGTGATAAAATCTTTGACGTCACTGAGCTTTACAGAATCTGAGATCTCAGACTTCACAGATCTCAGAATTTCTGGAGGCTGTCCTTTCAACCGCTGGTTTCGGACCGTACTTTCGCAATTGGATCCGTCTTTTGTACGCGCTCCTCGATGCGCTGGTGGAAGTTAATGGTATATGATCGGAACCTTTCGTATTACCTCGCCCCATTCGTCAGGGTTGGCCTCTTTCGCTATTGCTTTACGTTCTTGCGTTGGAGCCTTTCCTGCGATAGCTAAAGGCGAATCTGGTCCTACGCAGAACCTTCTTACCTGGTGCTACCACCTCGGCCAGGTTCTCCGCCTATGCTGATGAAGTTTCAGTTCTTATGTTAAGCAAAGCTGAGATTGACGAAGTCGGCAAAGAGATAAAAGGTTACGAGATTGTCACTGGAGCCGAGATCAACCGCGATAAGGCTGTTGGCTTGCGTTTGGGCGCGTGGAAGGGAGTTTCTCTTCCGAGACCTTTCCTCTGGGCGAATGAACCGGTCAAGATACTCGGCTTCTGGTTCGAGCCCGATCTCTTGCTGGAAATGAATTGGTCGGAGGTGCAGGAGAAGGTCGAGGGCGCAGTCCGTCTGTGGTCTCGAAGGAAGTGTGTTTCGCACATATACCTAATTCTCCTTTACCGACTCTCCGTGTATCCACTCCCTTATGCCATACTAATGCAATTAGTGAAGGCCTTGTTCTCCTTCTCGTGTGGAGGCAAGGCCTCAAGATATGTCGGGATATCAGTTACCTCCACCCTTCTGAAGGCGTTCAGGGTACGCTTAGCATTGAGTTTCGTCAACATACGCTTTCCATGGTGTTCCTAGACCGAATGTGTTCGCAAGTGGGTAGAAATGTCGAATTCTGGAAGGAATACGCCAGTAAGAACTTCCCGTACCTAAGAAAAGTGGACTAGTGCAAGGAGAGATTCACTCTTTACCCTGAGGCGAGTGCTACTCCTAACGTGAATGCCGGTTAGCTTTCAAGTTCCTCTTACGAACGTTGCATGACCTCTCCGACGTCCAGGTGTTTTCCCGTAAGGTATTATATCAGGTGAGGTAATGATCTGACTGTCGATTTCAGTTTAACGAAGCAGTAGGCTCACTCGATATGGCTTTGTGCGCCTGAGTTGAAATGCCTCACTAGTAGTGAGGCATCATTCATCTGGCTGGTGATAGAAAGGACCCTCTGGGTCGACAAAAATCTTCCTTCAGCCGGGCTGAGAAAATCTCTCAACGGTAATTCTGTGCAGACCTTGGCTCGCGCCTTCGTGTACTACAAGATTGCGTCTAGCATGAAACAGTCTGTCGCTTCTGAGTGCTGACTTCAATGTTCACTTTTAAATTTACATCCGCTCTTTCTCTAATATTGAGCACTTTATCCCATAAATATAGCACACCTTAAAACTATATATCTTTATATATCTATATATATCTATATATCTAAATATATATATATATATGTTCACGTGTACTTGTTTTAATTGTAATTGATATATATATATATATATATATATATATATATATATATATTTTAACATGACTATTAAAAAATAACATCATCCTTTCAGTTTTTCTCAATTCTCTCTCTCTCTCTCACACACACACACACACACACACACACACACACACACACACACACATTTCTCCTATCATTCTGTTTAAGTTTTATTTTCTCTCTCAGTCTCTCACGAACACTCTCTTTCAGTCACGCTCTATATGCTTCTATTTATGCTCCTTTCTCTATACCTCTATCTGTCTCATTCTATATGAATTCTCTCGTTTTATCTCTCGCTCAGTTGCTCTCTCTATCTGCCACTGAATCAATGTCTAACACCTTCTCTCTCCCTCTCTATTCATTTCTTCTTTGTGCTGCGTCCTATAGAACGTGGGCGACCATGACTCTCCATAATTTCCTATCGTTTGTAGCTCTCAACAGCGTTTGTTTTTTTACTACCCCCCCTCTTCTCTGTTCTCCCATTCATTTGCACAAGATTGTTAAAAAGTTTTTTCGCCTTATTCCATTGTCTTTCCTGCTTTCAATGCATCCTGTGTTTGTTCAATTTTATTACCCTTCTCTCCTTATTTTGTATACCAGAAATTACAACTGTTTCATTTTTATTCTAAGCGTCTCTTTTATTTCCATTTTCTTTGTTCCTTCAGTAGAACCACATTTCTGTTACCTCAAGTTTCCTTTTTTTCGGTGAGGACATTGTCCAGAATTCACTGTCATACAGGAGGAGTGGTAGTTCATAAACTGTTAAATATGTTTATCTTTGTTTCGAAGGATATTTCCGGATTAGAGACTCATCACGTTGAAACACCGGTTCCCATACAATCACCGAAGTTAATCAACGTCAAGCCTGGTTAGTACCTGACAGCATTGGAATACCAGATGCTGTAGAAAAAATGCGTGGAAGATGTTTCCATTTGGGCAGTAAATAATCCATAGAGTTCAAAATGCTACTAAAGAAAACAAAACAATGATATTTTGATGTTTCTTAATATTGTACCAAGTTTCTGGAACGCATCTTTCGTCATTTCAATATTTCTTCGGATTTCTGTGTTACCTTTTCCATTGCTTGTTTTAACATTTCCTTGATTGTTAAATTTCTGAACTTGCTTTGTTCTGACATCTCCCAAATGTGGCTAGAATCTTGGATTCTTCCGATTCCTAAATACATAAATTTAAAATCATTAAAAATGCCCCTTTTCTGCATTTCAGATCACATCGGATGGGTTTAAAGGAGGCCCAACTGGTCATGCTCTGTGTATGGACATTGGTTTTCTTCCTGTCAGCAGTCCCACTCTTCGGTATCGAATACTTCAAGGACTTTTATAGCCGATCTGGGGTGTGTCTAGCCCTTCACATTACCCCGGACCGACCCCGTGGCTGGGAATACTCCGTCATGATCTTCTTGGCCGTGAACCTGTTCTCCTTTGTGGCCATTTTCATCTCTTACCTCTGGATGTTTGTCGTGGCCCGTAAAACTCGGAGTGCAGTACGGACGGCAGAGGCCAAGACGGATAGTGCCATGGCCAAGCGTATAACGCTCATTGTTCTCACGGATTTCTTCTGCTGGGTTCCCATTATCATACTTGGAATTGCCTCCCTTTGTGGAGCAAGAATACCACCGGAGGTCAGTATTTGGTTCGTTCCTTTTCTTCTTCTAGGCTGGGATGAAGTGGCAATGAATCAAGTGCTAGGTCTGCTGCTAGGAAGGTTGGTTCACTGTATCATGCTAGACATTTTTCCTCTCCAGAATCTATATTACATATTTATAAGTTTACCATTCGCCCATGCTTTGAATATTACTGCCAAATATGGTCTGGTATACATTTGGAGATTGTTGCTAAAATCCCAAACAGAATCTGCAATGTTACTGGCTCTGACCTGGCATTTTTTTTCGCTGTAATGTAACTTCTTGTGCTTTTTCTATAAATATTTTCCTGGTTATTCTTCTGATAAAATTTCCGCTGTGGTAGCTAGACTTTATGGATTTCAGCGCAGTACTAGATTGGCGGAAAGGTCTCCTCATTTTATAGTTGCAATGTCTAGATATTACCGAAGATTTATTTGCTAACATCGGATGGGTTTAAGGGAGGCCCATCTGGTCATGCTCTGTGTGTAACCCTCAGCGGAGAACCTGGTCAACGACAACCAATTATGCAATTATCGTCTCAGATCAGTGGTAACCAAATATATACCACTGTAGTAGTGTTAACCAATTATGTCATCCAATCATCGGTCCTCAAGTTCCTTCAAATAGCCATGGTTACTATTTAGCTGACACATGGGAATACATTTCTCCTGGGTTGTTGATTCGAAACATGTTTTTTACTCGTGCAGGAGAATCGTGAATGTTACTTCGCTGACCACCTGGATTTTTCTATCGACAACATATGATTTTATGAGTGTTTGTTTCGCACCTCAGTTTGGTCTAAAGATCGTATTGACCCGTGAAATGCTTTTGTCCAATATTGAGCATAAAATATACTTTTGTAGCAATGTTTACACACACACGCATGCATATATATATATATATATATATATATATATATATATATATATATATATATACATACATAGTGATACCTCGGCTTACGTCGTTTCGAGTTGTCATTTTCGAAGAATTTGCCTTAAGTATTATATGGAAATATTATATATATATATATATATATATATATATATATATATATGTGTGTGTGTGTGTGTGTGTGTGTGTGTGTGTGTGCAGGTATGTAGAAAAATAGGAAAGAACACGTTAGATAAATACTCCAGGGTTCCTTAGTATTTATGTTTTTATTTAAAAAAACAGTGCTCCATACAGAAGTAGACCTTAGATTATAATTATTTTTAAAAATATGATTCCCTCACTACATCTGACATTTTGAAACATGAGAACTCTTATGTAGCGAAGGAATCATATCTTTTAAAATAATTATATATATATATATATATATATATATATATATATATATATATATCATCAAAATTTCCAAAAGTTTGCATAATAAATTATGTTCAGCAGATTTTATTTCAAATTCAAGTGTTCATACTTGTTTACATCTGCGCTCTTCCTTTGACGTTCTTTCTGTTGTGATTTGGAATACATTTTTGCCCATGGCTCCGAGGAAAAGTCCCAGTGCAAGCGCTAATGCTAAGCGTAACACTATATCGCTGGAAGATAAGATGGAAATTATTTCAGAATGCTGTAGTACATAACATAAATACTGTAATAAGCAATGAGGAATGCTTATTTGCGATTGATAGTGCGGTTATTTCGACGTCGTTTTTCGACCTAAGTCGTGACCTCGGGAACCAATTAACGACGTCGGGTGAGGTTTATCTGTGTATTATATATATATATATATATATATATATATATATATATATATACACCAAATATTTCAACAAGTAAGTGACATCCACATCGCCATCCGTATTATTATTATTATTATCATTATTATTATTTTATACTTCTTTTTTAGGTGTATGCTTGGGTGGCTGTCTTCATCCTTCCAGTAAACAGTGCCATTAATCCTATTCTCTACACGTTATCAACAGCGCCATTTTTGGGAAACATGCGCAAACGAGCAACGAAATTTCGAAAGTCTTTCATGACATCGATGACATTAGAAACGAAGCATTCCTATGTTGGTCAGTATTTGCTTTCTTTCTTTTTCTTTATCGTATATGTATAAGTTCGTTCATTCACTCCTTGTTATTATTTTCAGTTCCTAGTTTTAGTTGTTATGTAACCCGTTTAATATTTCATTCGAGACGGTCGAGAGTTTAGCCTGAATATATCGCAGCATACTGGCTGCTCTACCAAGTATGGATTTACCCCGTCTCCCCACTAAGACGTGATGTGATAACCCTAACCCTAACCCTGCCGACACAAGTTCGAGTTTAATGTGCACGCCCGGACCAGGACCAAAAATTGCTCATCTCACGTAACCATCGATTGAGCTGGTATCGGTATGACTACCAATCCACAATCTCCACGGGACTGGACACCTTGCAGTATATTTCTCCCTGGCTGTGTCTCTGTCCGCGGAAAGAAACACAACTGAGTTGCACTCTGCCCGAAGACAGAGACGCAACTGAGAGATGAATACACTAGCTATCATGTACCAGGTAGCTGCTCTACCAACTATGACACTCCGAACCTGAAGTCAAGGGGTCTATGAGGGATCGCTCATTTTGAATTCAGAGATTTATTTCTAATAAATTTGATACCAACCTAGGCTGAAGATCCCACGATTTAAGCAAAATCTAGAAGGATAAATGGATTCATACTTTTCGCAAAAGTGAGTGTAAACGAAGTCGACTGTAATTCGAACTCGGTCCACGGATTTAACATTCAGTGTTGCTAACCATTAGACCATCCGCACATCCTAAAACTAAAATACGAACGACAAATTGTCCGTCACCAGAAGGTGGGCCACAAATGCCTGATTTCGTCTTGATGAGGTTTAGATTAAAATCATTCGAGAATTTTATAGAAAGTTTTTTGTCTTTTTTATTATCTATATTTATGTCTCAATCCTGCGTATATTTATTGCCTAATGAATGACTGACGCCCGATTTCTTTTATCGGGAATTCCTAAGTCGTTACCTTTTCTCTCTAATATCTAAGTGATCGCAACACAACCTTTCGGGTAAGATTATAAAATAAATGAGCTTAAGTTATAAATTAGGCTCAAATCTCATCTCTACATTGGACACTGTACGATAAAAATAAAATATAAATCAAAACTTAAATTTAATTTATATATCATCACTATCCTGAATTCCTTGAACTCACCAAATACCCGTCCTATAAATTTTCGTTAACTCTTCAGGAAGACAACTATTTTCTAAAATTCTTTTCGTCATTATCTTAAGTCTACTTGAATTGCCTACTGTATGCGCAGATGCATGGAGCTGACAATGTAAGAAACATTTGTATAATTTTGTTTGCAATAATAATAATACAATGAAGAGAAGAGCGCGATTTAAGAAAACGAAAAGGAAAAATACAGTGTTTCACAATGTTAAACAATATTTCAACAGAATATTTGTCATCAAGTTATTTTTTTTTAATTTCAAATATAAAAATATATAAATTTACAAAACATAATAAGTCTTTGTACAAAAGTTGCTTGTCTTGTAATGAAAAACGGCTGTACTGGTAATCAACACCTCAAAACGAATGAAACGCCGCCAGAATTAAGGCATACACCTGAAACGTGCTTAATATGATACTGATCTTGTTCAGTTACAACTAGGATTGAGTAGTGATTATAAACCACCTGTTGACTGTAGTTCCGATGCTGGCAGTTGGAGTAGCCAGCGGCGCGAACTGATGTAGAGATTGTTAGATGGGTTAATAGGAGAATCAGAGTTCTTCCTGGTTGAAGGGAAAAGCTAAAGTTTTATTCTGACATGGCAGAAGTCTCCACGTTCCTAGACAGTTCAAGTGAATTTCTGAAGATATAAAATTGAATATATTGTTGCAGTTTTTTGTGTATACGTATGTACTAGGGTATTTATTTTGCAGGAAAATACAAAATTGTGGCACAAGGCCGAAAAGGGGGAGGGATAAAGGCTGGTCAACACTAACTATCTTATACCTAGCTAATCTGATTCACGATCCATTCATACATTACAATTACACATTCACCATAAGAACTCGTCCATCACCAATCAATCCTCCATCCACCATAATACCACATCCTCTCAAGGGGAAACTATAAAAACGCGCCCCATGCCATAAAAATTTGATTATAATAAACCATATACATAAAATTCTAATAATGAAGAATGAGAGGGAAGGGAGGTGAACTCAATAGCAAACTAAAATATAACACAAATCAAACTAAACATAACTGATGTTAGTAGGGACCGTCCAACCCTCAAAACAGAGAGGCCGCTTTATTCTGCCCAGAGGATAGAATCAAGAAGCACTCTCACTAAGGGAGTAGGAAAAAGATAAAATATTATACGGGCATGGGAAAATATAAAGCTGACCCAATCGAGATAAAAGGAGGGCAAAACAAACTGGGGAGGTTGGGAATCTCAACTTGGATTATAACCAAAGAGCAGCCGGGATACAGGCCAGGAACAACACTTACTCACATTAACTAGGTATACAAAAGCTTGTCTAACCTAACCAAGGGGAGGGCTCCACAGGAAACCACCCCGATGTACCGTAGGTTGACTTAGAAGACAAAATCAAGGCTAGCCCCGTTCACACGAACCAAGCTCGCCTCTTTTACCCACCTTTCGCTAAAGACTGTCGAATGCAATCGTTTTATATCAGTTCTAATCTTCATCTTGAGCTGATGCTCAAAGAATCGGATTAGATCCTGATGAGGAAGACGATCGCCTCGCAAGACGATCGCCTCGCAAGACTTCCTCCTTTCGCGTCGTCCAAATCACCATTCGAGCCGTGGCTAGCAGCGTCAGAAACACCATCCGTTTCACCCTAGAACACGGGGGCGACACATTGTCACACGCGTATGCGCAATCAATGGACACTAGCTGTTCCGGAACGAGACGAGCCGTCAGCTCGCCGACATGGTCCCATAAGGGGCGGGCACGCGGGCAATGGTAGAAGGCGTGCGAAGCTATTTTTTCTAAACCAAGCCCACACCGTTCACAGTCTGGCAAATCCGCCAAGCCCCATATGAAAGTCTTGTCGTTAAGAGGCAGCCGATTCCGAGCCAATCGCCAGGTAAGCGAAAACTCAGTGTTACTGAGGTTGTCCGCCGCTGGCGCCCAAGGCCAATAGGAACGATACTCCTCCTCCGAAAAGCCGAGCGTATCTCGTTGGGGATCCTTCGCGGGCCCCTCCACTAACCCTCGATAGAAGACCTTCTTAGGCCGTGGAAGCTCACTGGACCGCGGAATGGCCAACAAGAGCGACCGACGCTCGCGAAGGAAATCCGATTGATCCCGGGGTTTACGACGGCGATCAACCCGCGAGATGGGGGGGGGGTGATAATAAAGCAAGGAAACGCGTCCCTAACAATGCCCGCCAGAATCGGAGCTCCTCCTGTCAACGCGCGACGAAGGAAAGCCAACCTAGAGTCACGAATGTGACTCGTCAGGTGTGGCATTCCCAGCCCCCCATGACACGGACGTTTAGTGCAGACTCGTTTGTCGACCCGATTCACGCATCCCCTCCATAAAATGGATGATAGCGATCGCTCGAGCGCCTTCGTGTGGTCGTCACGGAGAGGAATTACGGACAATCGATAAAGAACAAGAGGGAAGATGTATGTAGCACACGCCTCCGCCCTGCCCTTCACGGACAACCTCCGTCGATTCCAAGTCTGACCGGCAGAATCGACCTTTGCTCGTACTTCAGACCAATTTTTCTCCAGCTGGAGGTCGGGTCCAAACCACACACCAAGAATGCGGACAGAACCGTCCGTTCAACCGAAGCGGCCCGGAAGATCGACCCCCTTCCTGGTACCTAACCGCAAGCCGGACGATTTGTCGCGGTTTATCTTGGCCACTGTCACCTTCTCGTACCGATCAAGCGCCTTCTGTACCGCCTGCAGAACGACACGAAAGCAGATACGGCATCGGCGTACGCGGAAACACTGGCTCGAGACCCTCCAGGAACGGCAATTCCGCGCAGGGCCGGACTGCACGTATCGTTCTTCAGTCGGCGAAGGAGAGACTCCAACGCCAACGCATAAAGGAGAGGCGACAGCGGATAACCCTGACGATCCGACCTAGAGAGCACAAAAGCGCCCGACAACTTTCCGTTCACCTGTAACACAGCATTGCGGGAGCGATACAGGAGGCTAATCCAACGGCAGAAGTTGGGTGCGAATCCAGCGGCCTGCAGGACAGTAGCAAGGTACCGATGGTCAACCCTATCAAATGCCTTGGACTGATCCAAATTGATCAGCGCGGCTTCTTCGTCGTCTTTTACATCCTCTATGATCGTGCGGATCAGATGCAGGTTGCTCTGAATTGTTCGGCCATCACAGAACAAGTCTGCTCAGGACCCAACAGAGACTCGGCAACTGACTGCGAACGCTCCTGCAGGATCTTGGCCAAAATCTTTAACTCTGTTTTTAGCAGAGTTATGGGCCTGCAATCATCTAGCTTCCCCCCACCACCCTTGCCCTTTTTCAACAGAGTGATCACACCCCTGGTAATCCGGTCGGGTATGGACCCCGACCGAAACCAGTTGCTGAACACCGCAGTCAAATTCGGAACAAAGATGAGCGACAGCCTCAAGTACAATTTATAGGGCAAACCATCCAGACCGGGCGACTTGCCTCTACCGACCCTCTTCAATGCCGCGTAGACTTCGCCCTCCGTGATCTCTCCCTCGCAGCCGAGAAAAGTCAGCCAAATAGCTTCGAAACTCCTCCTCACGCAGACCAGGCTCCTTGGTAAACCCGCTCTCGAAATGCCGCCGAAACGCATCGCAAATGTCGTCAGTGGCCCGAAGAGTACGCCCCTCCGGGGTATTGACCTGACGAATATAACGACGTCCACCTCGACGGATCTCTTCCCGGCGCAGATCTGCGCCCATCTTCACCGCTTCGGAAGACATCTTGCTTAGCCTATGTCTAATTACCTGGCCCATGTAGCGCTTGCTATTCGAACGCTTCAGGGCCTCCATAGCTAAGGCTATCTCTAGGTGATCC